CAGTATAGCAGGTTCTGATGCCCCCAACCCACCCTTCCCTAAACCTGGCCACTTTTCAAGGCACCAATCTTCCTCAAAATCCATAGCCTGTACGATAGCATGATAGCAGAGAAGCTCTGGGTGATGCAGATGTGGTTTTCCATTGCCAGGCCAGAAGGGTGGAGGAGAGGCTGGCCAGGTGACAAGGATGAAGTAACAACCCAGTTTTCAGCTGTTATCTGAAGCTGCTTCGTTCACAGAAGCATCTGGAAAAGCAAAGTGAGATACTAATCCAATAGATACATCTCTGGAAAATTCCAAACCAAAGCAATGTCGTGGGAAGAAGCAGCAGGGAAGGATGGAAAACAGTATAAAGAGAAGCCAGCTATGAAAGTTAAGGGTCCAGGTGTACATTTGAGTTTGAGGAATGACTTTAAAAAGAAGTACTAAATTTTACTGTGGTCATTATGCAAAGAAAATTTACACAGGGTAGGGTTGAAAGCAAGTAGGCTACAAGAGATCAAATGAAAAATTGCAAAAAAATGGGATACTAAACTCACCGTCACTGCCGTCTTGCTTTGATCTATTTATGTCCATTTAGTCTACTGATACACCATCTCACAAACAGAGGCTTTTTTTTTTTATAGTTTATAAGTACTGTCAAGCCTTGAATGGTTACTTTAAAATCATTATCCAGAACAGAGATGGAAAAATTACCCCTTGAATCTGATTTACTTATAAACCGAATGAACCACATAACAACCGCCTTAGTCAGATACTATTTTGAAACCTGGTGCGAAAGCTAAATGCTTACAAGCTCCTTTAGTGACAGTGCTGTGCTTTGAGTCACAGGAAAGCCATCCCAGAAGCTGGCTCTTCACATCAGTAAACAGGTTCTTGGGCAGACACACCTATGGACAGTCTTTAAATCCAAATTCCAAGGTTTTTAGAACTAAGTTCTATTTAGGAATACTTCATTTGTTTCATCAGATAGTGGTAAACCAGGCCCTATCTCACCTTCTGTTCGTCACCTACTTAAGTGCACAGAAAAATATTTAGGGCTGAAGAGTTCTGAGAAATTATGGAAATATTTTCTCTGTAAGATCTGCTCACTTAGAGAAAGGATATAAGATTCTCATCACTGCGTTTGTGCATCAGGACGCTGGTGTGAATAGTTACTGAATTGAATATTCAGTGACTGATTTGTGCTGTTGGCTCCTGTCTACTGTTGTAGGTGAGAAGTGAGTTCACTCCCTCATCTCAAAGATGTGAAGGGCCAGTGAGCATGCTCAAAGCCCTAACATCTCTCCAGATCGCTTCCTAGAAGGGAGAGCTCTTTCGGCAGGGTCGCCTGGTCCAACACGAGCAAGCTGCTCAGGTGTGGAAGCTTCTCGAGAGACCACTGCAACCCTTGGTCTCTTCGAGGAGCCATGTAGATCAGTCCTCCTGGTCTTAGTTTGTATCCTATTCTATAGATCACAGCCACCTGTTGATTCTCTTCTAGCCTATCCTCCATCAAGGTCTGCTCTCAACTGTAGGTCAATTATCAGTTATGCAAAATGTACCACCTCTCTATCTCTGAGGCTTTGCTTTCTTTCTTTTTTTTTTAAGTAGATTTTTAAAATTTGTGGTATATAACTTGGATATACAAAGGTACACTGAGTATACACATACAATGTAACAAATAGAACAGTGCCAGGTCTTGTCAAGCTTCTCTCCACGTTCCATTACCATCAAGACCTCTCTTCCCACTCTAAGTAACCAATACAATCAGTTCCTTGGCAGTGTACAAGGGCACCTCAGAAGTTTGTGGATTAAAGTATGAGTTTATGGGACCCACCAGGTGGCATATAGGTTAAGGTGCTGTGCTGGACTCCCATGTGTTCGACTGCAGTTCAAGTCCCAGACCTGGTGGCTTGAAACTCACACCAGATATGTGTATGTGTGTGCCTCAAATCCTGACAGGAGAATGGAGAAGGAATTACAGCATGGCCATTCCTCTTGAAGGAGTGGATTTTACACGCTGTTTTTCTTTGTCTCTCCGGAAAACATACATACCCTACTGGAAAATCTCTTTTAAGAAAAAAAGAAAAAATAAAGTATGAGCTTAGGTTGGTACAAAAATATTTGAAATCTATGCATAGTTTTTTCATAATCCACATTGTCCATAAACATTTTGAAGCCTCCATGTACATCCACCCATGTAAGCATCTTAAAAATACAGTTTTGTGGGTCCAGTAGGTGGCATTATGATTAAGGCACTGAACTCCCACATGGCCAACCATAGTTTGAGTCCTAGATCCTGGGGCTTGAAACTCATGGCAGGCACCCGTGTGGGTATGCCCA